AACTGGTCTAGTGGAAGGTGGCTCTGCCCATGGAAGGGACTGGAACTGGATGAGCTTTAAGGTTCCTCCCAATAAACCAAGTTGAGGATACTATGAAGTGGCAAACAAGCATATCTGCATTGTCCTATGGCTCCATTTATTAAGCTAGCATGGATACACACCTATTGCTCTCACACTAAAGCATGTCTGTCATCTGCTGGGGTTAAAATGATGTGACAGAATGCCTATAGGTACCTTTCTGACAGTACACATATATTTTCATGCTAGATAAAACTTGTGGTAGATAAACAGTCTCCTTCTCCAGCTTCCCAAAGCATTGCTTTGTCATCAGCATCCAGAAGCTTGGTGCTCTTGTACCAAACAAGAATGATTAGCTTGGCCATTGGCACATCATATGTTGTAAATCTCAGTTCAGTGAGACTTCTGTGGGTAGACTGGGTCCAGCAATTCCAATACAGATGAGTGCCAACAGTTAAACACAAAACACACCTGGCAAACTAAGGGAGAGTTCCCCTTCTTCTCATAATGCTCCTGAGATATCTGTAACGCTGAACTGCTTTTTTAATCTTTTCCCATTTATTCTAACTTCTTTAGTTTTTGCTACCTAACTCACATATTTGAGCACAAATTATGATTAATCAAAGTGAAAGCAATCAAGTATCATACATTTTCTTCTATTTATAATGCTTCCAACTAATTCAGGCTCATCAATCTGTATTATTTTATCACAACACTGTGTACAACAGAGTGCCGATATGATAAAAGTAACTACACATAATGTAAAAATCATGTAAAGTACAGCAAAGATTTTATATCAATCTAGAAATCATACCAAAGTGACAATAATGTATTCACTCCAAATTCCAAGCGATTACCTCATATTACAGATCTTCTCTCTTAACCTCATTAAAAATGCTGAGAGAGATGTCCTCCCAAGGAGAAAGGCACAGGACATCACTCTGCCCCCCGCCCTGCCAAAATGCTGTTCTTCATCAGAAGCTTCAGGAACAGTCTTCCGTGGTTTGGGTAGGCTTAAAAGAATAAAGGTGTCAGAAAATGGACCAGCAAAGTCCTAAAAGCATGCTGATGGGTCACTGGAAAGTTAAAATCCTGCAGCATGGATGCACAGGATTCCTTAATGCAGATCAAACATATCCTTCCCCCATGTACTTGCTTGTGAAGCTGGAAGTGTCACCAGAATTTTGATGATACCCATCTAAAAATGTTGCCACCACATGAAGTTATGAGCAAACCAAGGCACACACTTAACAAAGGCATCTTGGCATCACTCTGGGAGATAGCAACAAGAACCAATGAGAGTCTGCAGCCCCTGCAGTGGTGGAGGTATCTCCACGGAGCTGAGGTTGCTGGCAGTGCTCAGAGGCTCATCTCCTGGCTCAGCAGAACTTGCTTCTCAGTCATGTAAGGGGATGTGGGCCCCTGCCGAGGTCTGTCAGGTAGGGTTGTCAGGGAAGGGGAAGAGCAGTCCAAAAGGACATACTTCTCTTGCTTGCACACCTTCTGCATGTTAAAGTATTTATGACCTCGATATACTCAGCATGTAAAAAAAATACTACACATGAGAATAATACTGGAAAGAAGGAATATGGGAGGGCTCAGGCATTCTGAGGGGCATATGTTACTGACGCAGTCACTGGGTGCCTGCACATGGAGAGAGGAGGTCTGCAGAAAGTTCTCCCCCATGGATGAGCCACCAACCACACATACCCCCTGAGGCTCATCCAGGAAGCAGGACCAGCTCATTCTTACGCTTTGGAAGATGAATGTGATATAAAATCCACGTTATATCACATTTTTATCTGCAGCAGAACTCCTGGCAAAGCATTTCAGAATGAAAGCAAGAGCTCCTGAATCATTTTAGCCTCAATTCTTGCAGGCTATTAAACACACATGGCACAGAGCAGCATTTTGTCTTATCAAGTAAGTGCCAAGAGCGAGATAGCATTTATTTAAAAACAGTAAAGCCAGTTTTGAATCAAATGAAATATTCAAACAGCACATGCTGCTCAGCCAGCTGCATTATCCACACAGCACAAGTTTGTGACTAATTATCAAATACCAGATTTTTAAAACAAAAAAAAACCCAAAACCATTTCTGCAGCAACAAAGAGAAATATTATTTATTCAACTGAATACCAGGATGAAGATTCAGAAACAGGATGAAAACATAGGAATGTTTAATATCCTCTTCCAAACTACGGACACAACTCAGGAATGAGAAGCTAAAATACTCTCGTGCTAAAATACCCAGTGTCAAGCTGGTCAGAAACAATACACTTGTTTCCTTAACTAATGAGTGCTTCCTCTGGGTAATAAACTCATTTTAAATACAAACCTGTTCTTGATTTTAGACACACCTTGCACACACAGTGCAACCTGAGTAATTCATGCTGAAATTCCTTATGCTTGGTTTTAATCCAAATACTGGGTTTCTTTTTTCCCCCCTTTCATAAAGGCTAAGGAAAAAACAAAATAAAATAAAGAAAATAATAAATGGAACCCCTTAAGAGTTATAGGAAAGCAAAAAAGGAAAAAAAACCTGTGATTTTTATGTGGAAAAGTATGAGTCTCTTTTTTTTGTTGTTCTTGGAAAACAAGATTCATTTTAATAGCAAACTGCTGTGAAAAACTGGCATGCAAAATGCTTTGTCCCTAAAGAAGGAATTGTGGTTTTGAAGTATCAGTTACTAAAACCTGAAAAGTATGCACAGAACATGCTCAGTACAGTCAAGTATCTCCCTGAGCCCAGCGTACCTCTGTGGAGCTAGTTACTGAGAATTCTAATCTTGGTAGCGGTGACAGAAGCTCTGTGCTAGTAACTATTTTATGGTGAAACAACACGGTCAATGGCAAAACTTGGTCTCTGAAGGGGACCTGAAATGGGGGATTAGAAGAGGTACCCAGGCCCTTTGCCACAGGTCAACCTCAGGGTTGCCAGTCCTTGTAGTAAACCTGGTGTTTTCACAACTCCTGGAGTCATGGAAGCACCTGAGAGTCATATCTTCCCCTAACAAGTGGAAAGGAAAACAAAACCCAAGGACACATGATAGCCTTCAAAGAAGGAAAAATAAGAACTTCAGTTCAGTATACTCCAAAACTACAAAGGAAATAAAATAACCCCAAAATAGGAGTATCCCATGATCTGGAGGGTGGAAAAGGGAACACCTGAGGTCAGCACCACCATGTCTATCGTGGTGCACAAAAGCAGTATTTATCTGCTGCCTATACACAGCAGTCACGAATGACGACACAAAATCATCATGATAGCAAAGATGTTCCTGCTTATTCCAAGGTAACAGAAAATTCAATCAAAACTAAGGGTGAAAAACCACTGTCAATTACCAGTTAGAGGAGAAACAGAAAAGGCATGTATTTTACACTGAATAGTGTTGATCAAAAACTAGGAAGCACCACTCCAAAAGTATGGAAATGCCAAAGCTAGTAATACTTACATCAAAATCTTTGTGCAAAAAACCCTCTCAACAGAAAAGTAGTTTTACACATTAGCAATTTAGGTATAAACCAAGAAAGCCAAATGACAACGCAAGGTTAGAAAGTTTACTTGCTGTTGCATTGTTGCTGCTTTTTAAAAAGAGACTCCAAGTAATTTATTAAAGTTATCAGCCAAGTTGCAGAAGTAGTCTAGGAAAAATAACTATCAGTTTAATATGGAAGTGAAAGCAATTATTTCACCCCATTAACAGGAATGTTAGTGTTGCAGCTCTGTTCATCATTTCAAGAAACTCCTGGGGAAGCATGAGGTCAGGAGGATGGAGTGACTAACTTCTATTTCCACGACTCTGTCAGAGTCTGAATCGGAGCATGGTAACTAGGGTTGCAGTGTGACATTCCCCTGCCCCATGAAGGTAGAGAGAACTGGTCCACGGAGGAGGAGCAACTACAACACACAAACCTATCTCCTCAACCTTCTCCTTTTCTCTCAATAACCCTGCATGGTATTTTCTGCCCAGTCCTATTTCTTGACTACTTTGCAAACCTCAGACCATGCAGCTCTAAGGTCAGATTCCAGACACAACCAAGTACAGTGCTGAATAAACACAGGACATCAAAAAAGGCTCTTCTGAATATGGCTTCTGTATTTCTACCCTACAAAACGCAGCCTCAAATTTAGTACAAACTCTACCATCAATAAGAACTTTTTGAGAGAGGTTACAACGATTAGGTTTGGAGAACATTGACTATTTCAGTATCTATTTACTTTCTCTTACTGAGACATGTACCACATGTGATAGGTGGAGGCACAATATGAATGAGAGCCCAGTTCATATGCACTATGGGTGTTATCAAGGGTCTGCAGAAGTTACACAATCTGGTTTTTATGACTAAAACTATAAAAAAGGGTTGTGTTGAGCGATTTTAATAAGCTTGGGCTATTTTATAATGTGTTAGCTGTGAGACTTCAGGAATTAAAAAAACATAAATTAAGAAGTATATGCTACTTCATTAACAAAAAGCAAAAATCCAAACATTCCTAGAGAAGATAACCTGATTAAAACACCTCCATATTCAGCATTAGCATAACCAGTGCAGCTTCAAATTCAAACTGGCTGTTCTTCCCACCTCCACCTACTCACAACATACTGTCAAGTGTCTTACTTAACCTTCAACTATTCCCTCCAATCTAGAAAGACAGGAAAAGGATGACTAGTAATGGTGTTAAGATTTCTTAGCATCATATTTTCCACTTGTGGCTATGCAGCACATACATGTTTTGGCAGACCTGGGGTAGTTATTCAGTTCCCAAGTTAAGTGTTTTGGGCTATTCCTGTTGGATGCTCCAGAGAGCCCCCAGGAAGCCTTCAGATGAAGTCCTCCTCTTCTAAAGATTTCATAGAGAACTTGGATTTCAACACTTCAGGTCACTCAAATGCCAATCTGAAATGACTTTACCTCCACATCTCCTCCCTTCAGCTCCTTTTCTCCTCCCAAATCCTCAACATGCCACTCGTATGCACTTGGCCCACCCATTGGGCATTAATGCTTCTGAAAACCCAATTTCCAAGGTAGGAGCTGTATCACTTGGTGTGGCAGCAGCTCCTCCAGCCCTTTGCTTCTGATGGACTTTTTGTCCAGGCAAAAAAGTTGGCCAGTTCATTATGCAGATGGTCATTCTGGAGTTTCAACTTTCTGCAACCAGATGAAATACTACTCACAGCAAGCCAGACAATGATGTCTTGCTGTGAATTCCAAATAAGGCTTTTTTAGTTTCTAGCACACTTTGTTTTGTATCGTAAACCAGTGTCACTGCACTTTCAGGCCAGACATCACTTTCGCTGTGGCTACTAGAGCAAGAGACACACAGAAAGCCAAGGAAAAAATCACTATTAGTGAAGTATTGCCTAATACCAAACAGCTTTGGTGCCAGCCATCTCCTGTCTCCTTAACTGAAGGATGAGGAATTATGCAGGACTGTCAAAATAGGTAGGATTGATTCTACTTCCATCCTGGCTTCCAATTATTTAATAACGTGCTCCCACCATCTCCTGAAGGGACCTCAAATATTACCTGGTCTACCCTTTGAGACCTTGTTTTAAGACCAATATGAAAACTTTACTTCCAGTTATCAAAAACTGTCTACAAATGAGCTCTAAGCCACCTCTACCATTTTTGAATGGATATAAGTTAAGGGAGAAAACTGAAAAAGATCCCTGGAATCTGACTTCCTCCAAAACCAACGGAAATACCTAAACCAGGTAACCAACATGACAAGCTGTAGTCTCAAATCTCATTTTCTTACTGTTACCCTCCATATACTGCACTGCTGGTGTGCCACCCAACACCTTGTGCAGCACAAGGATGGAAATAACCCCACCTAAATCAGAATCCTCCAGTTCCACTTTGGGAAGGTACTCGACTAATAATATCCACCCCAGAAAAGCTGTATTTGATACACAGCTTAAGGATAAAACAACACATTCCTGCTAAAGAAACAGACAGGGGGGACAGTTGGATTGGGCAGGAGCCCAACACCACCTCCAAACCTGACAGTGTTGTTAACTTTCAGAGCAGCCTGCTGGAAACTATTCCCTTATTCATTCCAAACTTATTTCATTCTGCAAGGATCCATCTGCAGAAGGAACTCCCAGAGGGAGTCCTTTCAGCCTGCCAAGAAGAAAAGGGGCAGGAATTCCAGCACCTTGTACAACATTATTCCGCGAAATCCCTACATCCAGAGCCCCACCATTTAGTGATATTTCAGAGGGAGCTGGGGATGAAGGAAAGCAACAGGCTATTATATGTCATTTCTATTTACGTCCTATGAGAAATTTGCAGTTTTCATCCTATCTACATTCTGAGCTTTGTCCTGGACTGAAGAAATCAGCTCCAGAGAGGGAAAATAGGAGAGCTTCGAGGTAGCATGCCTGCAGTGTAAGGTATTTCCAAGGATATTTTACTTTGGGAACTCATTTCTCCAGTCCAATGCCATCAGAAGAACAGGACAGACCCCAGACAACCCTGACTCTCAGGTCTCCAAGTGAAGTTCTGGCTCAGGGAAAATAATTCAGAGGCCAGTTGCTCCAATGGACCCACGACACAGGACTATTTCCAGGAGTGTACTGCAAGACACACATGAAATGGTGTCTGTATGTGTTCTTGAAAGTCCTGCTCTCTGTCTTGGTGATGGTATAGCATCGGCAAGGGATGCATCGTACAGTACTCTTCATCACCACTTCTGCCATAAAGTGAGGGCAAATTGCTCCTGAGGAGGCTGGAAATCTGGGATGCTACAGCAAGCTGTTGCTAAATCCTGGAAAGCTTGATGGATCTTCTTACAGCAAGTGGAAACAGCTCAAAGTTCAGATCAACCTCATTTTTCAGCCACATGCTCCCTCATCACAAATGCAAGCAGACATTCATATACTACGCAATAATCCTTATGGAATAAACATAGATGAAACATTGAAACAGGTTATTTAAGAATAGCAAGTGCCAGGATGAGGACACTCAATACTGGGGAGGTTTTAAATGAGATGCTGATGTGACACCAGAGCCAGCACTGGTCATGCCAACCCCACCACACCCACTGCTGCCTCCAACAGGGATGGTTCAGTGTTCAGCTCCTGCTCCTCTGGGCTCTGCACAGTCTGAAAAAGCTGGACTCAAGAGCAGACTCAGTGGTATTCTGGGGGTGAAATAAAGGGATAATGTTTTTGTTGGATTATATAGAAACAGGGCAACTTTATCTTTTTTTTTTTTAATTCCCCCTCTGCAGAGCACTCACACCACAGAAATGCAACTGGAGGTATTGTCCTGGGTTCAGCAGTGGCAGTCATTTTTTTTCTCCTTCTTAGTACCTGGTGCAGCGCTGTGTTTTTGACTTTCGGCCTGGGAACAACGCTGGTAACACCAATGTTTAGTCTGACTAAGGACTTTCTGAGTCTCATGCTCTGCCAGGGAGGAGGGGAAGGGGGGAGGAAGCAGAGACAGGACACCTGACCCAAACTGACCAAAGAGGTATTCCATGCCCCAGCACGTCATGCCCGCGGAGGTAACTGGGAGTTACCCAGAAGGGCGCTCACTGTTCGGTCGGGCTTGTTTTCGGTGGGTGGTATCGTATTCTCTCCCCTTGTTATTTCCCTTATCATTATTATTGGTGGCAGCAGCAGTGGTTTGTGTTATACCTTAGTTACTGGACTGTTCTTATCTCAACCCGTGGGAGTTACATTCTTTCAGTTCTCCTCCCCATCCCTCCGGGACTGGGGTGGCAAGTGAAGGGAAGAAAGGGTGGGGAAGTAGACTGCGTGGCTGACTTGCCGACAGGGTTTAAACCACGACAGGTATACTGTCCATACAATGGCAAAGGAGCAGCTTAACAAACTTTATTTCCCATTAAGATTAGCTCAAGAAGGGCTGTAAAACCGCAACTGTTCTGCAGGAACACGCTGCTAGAAGATCAGCTCAAACCTGTCCAAATCCTGCATGAGAGAGGTTTATTTTCCCATCTTCACAGCCATAAACAAGCATCCCTTTCACAGCCTAACCATCTTCTCAGCTCTGTAAGCTACACCAACAGTGACACGAAGAGTAAGCAAAGAAAGATAAGAACACAGTCATCTTGCTTTTTAGACACAAAATCTCCAGACAGGAATGTGTGGACTTAATAAAATACACTACTTTACATAGACTTCCTTCCCTTAAAATATGCCACATCAAAAATAATTTCAAATAAATAAATAAATAAATAAGCAAGCTATTTTCAAGCTTAACCTCTACACTGCTCTTGAGGAGTAAAAGATACAGAGTACCTATATAAAGATTTAGATCTAGTTTTAAGACAGATACAGACATAACTATTATCTAGTAGGTTTACACACAGTTTAAACCTGTGTTATCTTGAACTGGCTTGTGCTGCTAAGTGGGCTGCTCTGAAGCCAAATGTACACAGCATGAAGTGACGTGTTCAGACTTATTTTACCTGGTTAATAATGTGGAATGATGAGCCCTGGGTTCAAGAAAGTAATTACTGTAATCAAAGCAATGAAGGAGAAAAATGAGTTACTTCAAAGGTAGGTTTCAAACACCTTGCTCAAGTCTGCTTATAGTCCCCTTTTCTCCCTGAAACTTCACATTGTGAAAAGCCTACTGGTGAGGAAGAGGAAAAATAATCTCAAATTTGTCCAGAATCCCTTCTTTTGGAAGGGATTTCTTGGTCCTGATTCATTCCCCAAGGCTCAAAATAACTGCAGTCCCTCTGCTGATGTTCCCCAGTAGTCCCCGTACTTTTTGCCATGGCAGAAGCTGGTATCTGACCATCAGTCAGACAGACGGGGACGGTGGTGTGGGGATGTGCAATGTACTTAGAATCACAGAATGGTCTGAGTTGGAAGAGATGTTAAAGTTCATCCAGTTTCAACCCTCTGCCATGGACAGGGTACCTTCCTTCCACTAGACCAGGTTGTCCCAAGCCCTGTCCAGCCTGGCCTTGAATATTGCAAGGGATAGGGCACTCACTACTTCATCTGTTTTCATTATTTAACCACGTAAGACTATGCTCCCAGTTTTTCCTTTCCCGGAATTTTTCCCAGCACCTTTTGAGGGAACCACAGCAGCAGGCAGGGCTGCTCCGTCCCTCTCCATGCAGGAGTAGAACAGCTCTTGCAGGAGGGATTTTTTCAGGACCTTTGCTTTTGTGCTCCATCTAAAAAAATACACGACATCTTTTTCCATTTGGAAAACCTATTACCCAAACTGATGGCATATTTCCATGCTATGAAAGGTATTTGTGCAGCTCCTTATATCTTGGCTACATCAAATCCATAGCAGTACTACTGTATATCTGTTCAGTTTTTCCTATGACCATGCAATCCTTGGAACACAGGGGGGGAACTGAAGCCCATAGGAAAATTTTCAGAGGAGACTTAGCAATTCAATCAGCCTTGAAAATCTGAAGCATACAACCAAGTGGAAACTCTGAGCATAACCCTTTTTAATACTTCTTACTTTGTACAACCTCTGAAGAACAGAGGTTCCCCCCATTCACCATCCTTGAACAGGCAGCAGAAGTTGGTGTGAAGAACAGGTTTCTAAACATACCTGCTGAAGCAAAGACATTTTCTTTGCATCAATAAAAAAATCTTTTCAATTAGGTTTGATCTTGCTTTGGTCGTGGGCTGAGGTCCCATAGGAGCAAGAGCTGAGCTGGGACTTTGATCTTCTCCCTGCTCACATCATCTTCTGCAAATGCAAATGCAGTATCTGTCTTGCAGACACATCCTTTGGCAGAAAAAGCTTCACAAGAATGAGTTTAAATTAGAACTTTGGAAGAAATGGGAGATTTTACATGGGGAAGGGCAATTTTTTTTTCTAAGCAAGAAAGGGACAAATGCAAGGCAGCAGGAGAGAAGGAGACACACAGGTTAAGTGAGGCAAATCTATCACTAGCCCAGATTTGAACTTTTAAAAATAAAGAAGAAATAAATTGAGCTGAGCAAGCATCTGCATATGCTTTGACTACACTACACCAATGAAACCTGCTTGTTTTGGGTGACAGCTTCAAGAAGATGCAAGCTAGACATCTAAAGCATTTCTGTATTATATTACGTTAAACTATCTCGACATTTTCCTTCAACCACCATCACCTCCCTTCTCAACACTCTTTTTCCTAGTGTTTTATGCAAGAAACCTGAAGACCTGAATAAGCAACAAGCTGACACTGCATTTTACCAAGTTGCTGGAGCTTCTGAACTTTGGGAAATCCTCTTTAATATGGATTACTACATCCAGAAAGTGGTATTAGCCTCTGGGAAGTGCTGTGTGCTAGGGACGTGACATGGATGAAGTCCAAGCCAAGCTTGACAGCGACCAGCAGCTGCTTGGTTGACCAGGGAGGACAGGCTGAGGTTACCAGATGGGATTTGTCTATCCAAAGAGGCAGCTGCAACCCATCAAGCCCAGTCAGTAATTCTGTGGGGCTACCAAGCACAGCAAAATGCAAGTGGCAAGCACAGGCACAGCAGGTCAAGGGAGTTCACTCAAGGATGTAATCACTGTGGGAAGCATGCAGTAGGGCAGGGCAGCATGGATGGAGAAATTTACGTCAGCCTGAAGTCCTGCTACTGTCTGCACAGACCAGCACATGGTTTACTCTCCCTCACTGTTTATTCCATTTTTCTGTTTCATGGTCCCAGAAGACACCGGGTTGCCAGAGCTCTACTTGCCACAGCCTGAGCAGTAGACATGAACAAGAAACAAGCCTTAATACTTCGGTATTGATGAAACAATAGTCATAAAAGACCATTTGAAAGAAACAAAAATTGAAACTGCTTAGATTCTGGTATGCACTCAATCACATGCCTGAATTAAGCCTATTTTTAAGGCTTTTCCTGAACCAAGGCTTAAGTCTTCATGCAAGTACCTCCAGGCAGAGATACTCCAGCCTGTATTTCAAACAAATTTGCCAAAGGAAAGTCACTGTGCACATCTCTGTGTCTGGAATGGAATGCTTCCATTCAGACACTTCAGATTATTCCATAATCGTGGAATGTCAGCCTGCTTCGGGTTGGAAGAGACGTTAAAGCTCATCAAGTTCCAACCCCCTGCCACTGACAGGGATGCCTTCCACTAGAGCAGGTTGCTCCAAGCCCTGTCCAACCTGGCCTTGAACACTGCCAGGGATAAGGCAGCCACAGCTCCTCTGGGCAACCTCCATGAATACTGTGCCCACAAATACTGCTAGTTTGACCAAAACAACAGCAGAAATACACAACAGAGACCCACAGAAGCACCAGCATTCTGAAACACAGTAATAAAACCACGAGGCACCTCCTACATGAGTAAGTGCTCTTCTGCCACGACAAGTGCATGGACATGCATGCAATTCTTTACATAAACAGGGTTATTTTCAAGGGATATAAAGTAGATATGAAGACCAGAATTCACCAAACTGATGGCATGCAGATGACTGTTACTGCAAAAGTAGCTATGCAAACCATTTCAAAACAAAAGTAGTTGCATATTTTGGGTTTTAAATGCAAATTTAGATTCAGGAAAAGACCACAGGCCTGCTTTACTAGCACAAATGCCAATTACTCTATATATTTACAATCAAGCAATCAAAACTTAGCAGCCCTATGTTCCATGTTCCTCAGAGCCATGCATTTAGTGTTGAGAGCAGACACTAAATGATACAAAATTCAGCAGTGTCTATGAAGTGCACATTAGCACAACATACAACTTTGCCCAGCTATCGGTATGTGTCTTATGAGTCTTGATTATGCACAAAATAAAACTCATGGGTGGGGAGGTCTTTCACACACTTAAGTCAAGCCGTAAGTGACTGAAAGCAAGCTGTAAGTGTTCTTTTTCTGCTACTCATGGTGTCAAATTTCTTTTATAAGCTACACATCAAGTGATTTGGTACTAGCGATTCCCTCTGCTTTCTCCTCAAAGAAAAGACCTACCTGATTACACTGGAGAGCGTCTGAAGTCCTCTGAATTCCAAAATAAATCTTTCCTACAGACACATGGCCCTAGAATTTCTCACTCTTGTTCCAGTTTCTGTTAAGCTGTATTATCTCACCCTTCACATCTTTAGGATATGCTGAGGATCAAATATTCTAGCTTGGTTGAGAGACATGCAGTACAGCAATAGAGAAGCCAGAAATGCTAACTGCAAGTTACTGCTAACCTTGGAGCTGTCGGGAGGGAAAAGAAACATAAATCTGCAATCCCATCAATCCTGAGGATTGTTTATTTATTTCACACTCACTTGCTTAGTGCTCCAAAGGACTGTTACAACAGGTAGGTGAAGTGAACAAGCCAAAGTGCTTAAAGAGATGTTTTAACACAGGAGCTGTTCCAGGGTGTCCCCAGCAGGATGGGTAGGGGATAGTCTACCACAGCTTCATAGCACATCCATGCTCCAGAATAGAAAATATGGTCACACAAAGTGATATTTCATCCTGCAGGAAATTTGTCCTTAAAACCGATCTCTCACTTTCTGCAGAGATAGAAAAGCAAGCTATGATTTTGTTTTTCTAAACCCATAGGTCAGGGTAATTAAAACAGCTGTAAACTACAAAGGTGAGGGCATGTGTTCATCTACTTACGTTTATAAATATTACCCTATTAAGAGTGTTCACCTTGATTGACAATCTTAAGGTCCTTCCCAACCCTAACTATTCTATGATTCTATGATTAAGTGCCCATATTAACGGAAAAGAACTTACTGCTATTGGTTGAAAAACTCTGGCTACAGTTATTTCAAAACAGCTTTAAGATTTAAAAGGATTTTGTTCACCTGGTTTCCAACCCCACCACATGGTGGGTGTTTCAGGGGCTTAAGGAAGCGCCTCAAAGGTGGGACAAGGCAGCTTGGATTGAGAGGAGCAAAGACAAGAGCCACCCAGGAGCACTCATCCACTCCCTCCTCAAACAAAAAGCTCATGTTCTGCCAGTTCAGTCCCTAAAACCACAGAAAGCACATGAAGGGCTTCTCCTGGGTGTGATGCACAGAGTGGCCCAACGTAACTGACAAAATCCTTTACTTAGGAGCCCTATGGTATCTGCTGTGGTCTTATACACA